AAATTAGAATATCTTTGCCCAGTAAAAAAGATGAGTCCTTTCACAGCTGCATTTATCAGGATGTGCTAAGGGTCATTTTCATTCCTCCTTTGGAGACCTATGGTAAGCTTTAGAAGTTATGAATATTCAATTTTTTTCTGAGACTGTGGAGTAGGGGTAATCTGAGAATCCACTTGCAACATTCATACACACTAACATTGACTAGATGATATTTCTAGTTTCAGGAGCTCCCCAGCCTTAACAACTGAACTTGAATAAGTGTTTCCCGAGTCTAACAAGAAGCTGAACCCATGGACACACTGCTTGGCTTCCATCAGATAGTCTTGATTTCAGATAAATCAATCCTTGTAAAAAAAAAACCTCACGATTGTTAATTGCATAGAGGTATGGTTCTGTTTCTTTATGATTCATATTTTTAAAATCTAGTATCTTAAATTATATTTTACTATTGTGCTTAATTCTGGTACTGTGCCCATGTTTGTGCTTAACACTACTATTGCCATGATCTCTGTGTTGGTTGCTTATCATGTGATCTTGTGATCTCTTAATTTTGCTCCAATTTTGCAGTAGAGATACAGAGGTAAAGCTTCTTACAAAGATACTTGTGAAGAAAAGGCTCCTTGTGGTACTCATCTGAGTTTTTCTTCCATCTCAGCATTATATGTGAGTTGTTTCATTGAAATAATAGCAAAATTTGATTATTCCTTGTTACAATTTTCTTGTTGCATAGAAAACATTAGCCACTAAATAAATGGCGTCTTGATATAGGTTTTTGGGAAAAGTAATATGCTGCTGTTTTTAAAAGGTATGGAAAACCAAGGTCAGCCTGGAAGAGTTTCCAGGCATTAAGGAACTAAGAGTGGAACTAGTTGCATGTATAACAGCCCCAAGAGCTGAAGCAAATAAACTTGAGTGTTCAACATGTGAGTGTGCAGTAATCCCAGCTGGACAGACATTTTAAAATACTTCAAAGTTCCAGGGTCCTGAATTTTGCTTCACTGTGCAGTATCTTCTATCCATAGTCCCAGCAAAATAAATTAACTGGAATTAGGGGGAGATATGAGTAGGGACAATATGGCCTGGCCCCAAAATAAAAAAAAAGGTATTAATCTCAACATAATACAAGGACAGATGTGTGTACTGGGAAAATCTAACAGTACCTTAAAGGAAAACATGTGAAGAACATGGCCATGTACGGAAAGACAATGAAACCAAAGAAATAAACATAGCAGCACTACTTTGCTGAAAAGAATCAGAAGACACATTATCACACAGAACACACTGGCAAACTACTTCATGAAGATAGTAGGGCTTGGAGGAGAGAAAATATGTAGGCTGCAGAGACTGCCAGGCTCATTTAATCTACCTTCCGTGAGGCTGGAATTGCAGCTATTGTACTAAGTTGCATGACAACACATTGAAAAAAAATCCATTTAACGAGTAATACTGGTTGGCACGTGCCATTACATTACCAAGGGCAAATTGTGGAGAACTGGGCTACACAGTTAAGTGAAAGTACTGCAGAGTGGCCCAGGCTGTGGCCAAATATTGGAATAGACGTCACAAAAGTTACATACGAGTTTGTTTGAAGATTTAACTGAATTTTCATTTAAGGAAATTTCAAAAGTTCACAGGAAAATGGATTCTGTTACCCATTAGAAGCATTAGGTAATGTCTTAGTATAAAGCCCTTTGGTTTTAGTAGGCCAAAAGTAAGGGATAATGCCAGACTAAAACCTAGGTGAAGGACTAAATTCTAACTGTGAAGTTATCTAGAAGACTATGTTGGGAAGAGTCATTTAATAGAAAATGGGAATTCCAAAAGGCAGGTCCCAATCAAGTTCTGCCTGCAAAACTCCTACCTGAAAATGTATATTCCCCTGTTTAAGGTATCTATTCATATCTGCTCTTACAACAATTGTTTTAAAAAGCAAAACCCAAACCAATCCTCCTATATCAAGCACATTTTTGAGAGTATAATATGTGTGTATATATATATATATGTGTATATATATATATATATGTATGTATGTATGTATGTATAGTATGATTGAAACCTCCTGATGACCACATCCTTTTATGTGCCCATTTTATTCACCACACACAACAGGCAATGGCATACAACTTCCAGCAGAGGTGTTCTCTTCCTTACTCCACCAGCAGCCTGCCTTAAATATGATATTTATGCTAGTGTATGTATAGGTCCCATATGAAGTGTATGTTGTAACAGAACAAGTGCCAAGCCTTCAACAAAATTGTCTGAGCCACGAGCGCTGATCAACAAACAAGGGAGACGACAACCTACGATGTGTTGGCTGGTAACCAGCATGGAATGGGGTGATGGAGAAAACTTTCCTTACAATCAAATAAAAATAAATCTAATAAAAAAGCCAAGACTATCAATAGAATTAATTGAGCCAATATATTTAGCACATGACCAGGTGCTAAAGAGGCTGCTTAACATGATATTGTAAATCAGATACCTGTAAAAAAAAATATTAACTATAGTTTGCCGATCTGGGAAACAAATTGCTTTCTGTTCAACATTCAAATGATAGCAAGCATTACCTTTGGAATTATTTATTCATTTTAACATACTTATATACAGTGATCTCATTCTGATATAGTAGTTTATTTCAACATAATCTAAGTAAAGACTTCTATGACTTACTGAAGGTTTTTTAATACATTTGAGACTTAGACACTTTCCTTACAAGCCTTCATATATATGATAGCAACAATATGTCTTTTGTTGTCATGTTTTCCAGTTTTTATATCTTTACTGAGAGCCAACACCATTTAACGATGTTTAAATTGCATCTGAAATGGGCAATGCTTGAGCAAAATATGCCACACACAGTTTGAAATTAATCTAAGCAGCTAAAGAAATTTAAAACATACATGTTTACAGGTATATATATTATATATTGGTGTATAATAATGTATACACACACATGTATTTTAATGTTTAGCTTTAATAGCAAAAAGTACAGTAGAATTCCACTGATGGCAAGATTTGATTGTAGAGTATCCATAGAAAATTGGTGCACTTTTTCTGAAAATCAATACAAGCTCAAAACAAAATGTGATGCTAGATAATTCTCCGCCATAGCCTAAAACTGATAATCAATTTGAACACCTAAATAATTGAATTAAACCCTATAGTAATCAAATAGGCATTTGATAATGAAATACCTCCATTGAAAAATGTTGCTGAGTAAAATTTTGTGTCAGTCCCAAGTAGGTGAGTGTACAACATTTAGGATAAGGCCTCAGTCCTGACTGGAGCTCATAGGTACTGCTGGAGTACAAATAATAAATAATAGCACATGTACTGTAGAGTCTCTAAAATCAGTGATAATACCAAGCATTTTCCATTTTTGAAACACTGTACAAACATAAAACTATTCCTCACAACACCCCTGTGAGGTAGGTACAAAAGTGTTACCCCGTCTTACTGATGGGGCGAGTCATCTCAATTCTACAAGGTGCTAGCTGATGCTGCAAGGGGATTCCTGGAGGCCTGATTTCCTGATTCCCAGAGGCCTCAGAAGTATGCTGTTCTTAAGCAAAATATAAATCGAATAAAGAACTTGCCCACATCCTTAAAAATGACAGTGGCACAGCCCAAAGCTGTTGGCTTTCATATTTGTCACTTTGTCAATCACTTGGGACATTCTCCCTTTGAAAAAATAAGGTACTATACATTGGTCCTGTGACGTGCACAAACACATATTTTTCTTTTTGTAAATCTGCTGATACCTTTGATATCTGCAAAGGGGAGGCATTTCCCTGTGAGTGCATACTTTGTGTAGCAGACCTGTAGCAGGCAAGAGTCTCCCATTCTTTTTTACTTTTATGCATAAATATTACAGGCTATTTTACTCATTTGTGTGTGTACTCAGTAGTTGTATGGTGACATCCAATTATATATTAAGGGGCACAGCCATATACTTTTTTAGATTCAGCTTTCAGGACCTCCTTTAAAACTGGGATAAGCCTGTGGAATGTACTAAAATATATGTATTCTCTTTTTCCTCTTTTGAAAAATAAAGTCCGGAATGCTTTTCCTTAGACGTACTATAAAATACTCTGTATAGCTAGCCATTGCTTTGAAAATGCGTAAAGAAAAGCAAGACATCTGAACCTGGAAGCAGTCCCTCTTGCACCAGAATAAACCTGGAGTACCTCCACTAAAGGCCGTAGAGCTTCAGGGGTGTAAAAGCAGGCTGAGTGAAGTTAGGATCGGGATTTCCATCCTCCTGCCCATCTGTGGCTGCCCTCTACCAGCAACATTAATGAGCTTCATGCCTTCATCTGCAGGAGGGAGTGTGAATGGCATGTCTGTCAGCAAATCCTGCGAGCTATGCACATACCTGATCACATCACTGAAGACTTCATCACTCATTATGCTAGTGTTACACATAGACGTAAAAAACAGGCAGCTCTTTTGACCTCTGCAGAATTAGAGAAAAAGGAAAAAAATAAACCACACTATCTTCCAAACGGTGGAGTACATGCAGAGAAGTAAATTAAAGGCAACACAAATACAGCACAAATGCAGCTTCAGAAAAACAAAGTGTTTGCCAAAAGAGGAATAACAAAACAGGTAAAGAAACAGATAATATATGGAGGGGTAATATATACAAAATGAAAAAAATAAAAGGGTAAAACTTAAATTATTTCAATCAATTAATTATTTCAATCATTTAATAAATGCTCTCTTTCTAATAATTCTTGGGAAAAACGGAAGTGAAAAGTTTGAAAGCCTTGCTGGAATGCTCCCCTTAAATAATCATAACAGGCAATTTTTCCGATCATATATAGAGTTCCTACATTGCTCTATTTTTAAACATCTGTAATTCAACAGACTTTGACCATTTTCATCTGTGTAGCATATTTTATTTTTTAATGTCTTCATATGATAAAAAAAATAACCCATACATATTTAAAAATAGATACCATTCTGCTTTCATCCTTTTTTGGGGGGGAGGAGGGGAAAGCAGGTAATTTTCCTCTTGTGTTTTGAACAGAAACATAGCTATCAGCTCTCCTTTGCTTTTCTTCTCTTTTGCATATCATGTTTTCTCTCAGCAAGACTCAGGGACGTGCACGGAGGAAGAAAAGCACAAATCTATCATTGTTGTTGAGTCACCTGAGGAAACTCATACCTTCTTTGGGTTCGTCTTATAAAACACAGTATCTGCATAACAAGGCCACTGAAAAATGATTAATACAGATTTTTCTCTTTTATTTATCTTTTGTCTGTTTTAAATGCAGCAGGCATTCACCATCGGAATATAACAGCTTGGAGTTTACTCAAACATACAGCTTTTTTGCAGGAGATACTTAACCACATGCCTAACCTTAAGAATGTAAATACTTTCATTTAAATCAATGTGAAAAAAAAAATTGGATAAAGTTAGACATGCTTTGATAATTGAGGTTATTGAAAAAAAAGACAAAACAAAACTATGTGTTTAAACATATAGGTTATGTCATTTGGAATGAACGGATGCGAGTTATCAATTTTTTTCCTTTTTGTATTTTAGAATTTGAACTGCTCCTGATAAATTTGTTCACAAATTTTATCATGCAGTGTATTGTGAATATTAGGCAGATGTTTAAACAACCTGAAAAGGAGGCTTTTTCATTAGACAGTACAGGATAAATGTTCAGAAAGCAGTCAATTTGAAACAGTAGTCATTCCGAAGTCTGTTTTCCCCCCTCAAAAATATTTTTTTGGTGTCTTTTTTTGTTCTACTACCTTGGGATAAATGTTCTTAAAATTTATTTTCATTGGAAAAGAGATTTTAATAATTCTATCCCTTTACACTGTTAATATAAATTAGAAAAACGTTTGAATATACGGTGTCGACCTTATTCTGATTTTCAGATGCAACGATTAGAAGTCATTGACACCAATCTACCACAAGTAACCCTAGTCTCATATCTTGTTCTGTTATTAGAGTAATCAAGGAACGCAATTCAGAAATAATATTACATCCTGCATTTTATTCAATTCCATATGACAAAAATAGTAACCTAGACTAAGACATCCATTTCAATCAGTAGATGTGTCAAGCCAACAAGATTTAATAATAAAAAATATTGGATCTAGGTAACAATTCCCAGCTGTTTCAGGGAGGCTCCTAGCCCTACATGGTATCACAGTATAAAAATAGTGTCTCTCTTCACCATGCAGAGAGGAATGGCCTAGCCCTGAATACAAAATGGGGTCAGTCTTACTGTACCATCGTCAACCGTCTTATTTACAACACTTTACATATTTTTTCTCTTTTTCCTTTTTCATTTTTTCTTCTCTGTTTTTCTTTTTTTTTTTGAATTTTTTCCTTTTTTTTTAAGTTATACACATTCTTTAGGGAATAGAGATAACACTACATGGTACCAAATACTAACAAAAAAAAGTCACACCAAAAATTACACAGATAAATAAAAACATTCAATTGCTGAAATACAGCAACATTAAGCCACCTCAGTTTTCTTTTTCTAATGCTTGGAAACACCCCTAACCACCCACACACCGTGGCAAAAAAATTATGTTATATTGTAGAGGTGTTACAGATATATAATTTTGCTCAGATATAGATATATATTTATATCTATATATTTCTATCTCATCATTGTAGAAAATGGAGCTGTAGAGTTCATTGTTCATTTCCAACAGAAACAAACAGCTAATAAGTCTTTGAACCTCTTTTCACTCCATTACATGATGGCAGAAATAGTCCATCCTCTTACAGTAATGGTTTCTGTTTTATAAGAAAGATTGTCCTATTTTTCAGTCTCAACTGAGAAGACCTCACTGTCTGATTTGTTCTTCAGGGGCATAAAACTCCTTGCGCTGTTACCCAGCTACCCATAATGTCCCTCAAGCAATTCTGCTGGACGGAAGTTCAGAGTGTCAACTCCACCATGCTTGTAATGCACAAAAATGAGGTAGTACACAAAACATTTACTGTTCAAGTTTTGATTAAGCCCCAGTCTCCTCAGCATCCCCAGCTTATGAGTGGAACCGTTCCCATTGTTTACTCAGCATAATTCCAACAATGCAATCAACGTAAAATTATATTTAATTAATCAGAGTACATTGTGCTTTGGAGCAATCTGAAAAGATAATCAGACAGTTGGAAATAAATACAGAGCATTTGTGTGTTACTTCTGCTCATGCTGCCCAAAAGTTCTTTTTTTTGTCCCCACTGTTATTAGGGAGTCAGCATCTTTCTCATGGTTATGTGTGAATGAGACAGAACAGATTACAGGAAAATTAAACCTACATAGTGTTCTTCTTCCTCTATCCTAGACTTGTATTAATATCACACTTCTAAGATAAATATATCAGAATTCTGTCAGGGGTGGTCACGTTTTTATGTGGGCATCATAGAGAAGTTAAATGAATCATTTCCATTTAAGAAACAGCAGTCCCCATATTTCCTAAGGATCTGACAGTTCTCTGCAATCTTCTGCTTAATTGATCAAGATCTCTCATTGTCTGAGCTTAAAACAAAACATAAACTGCAACAGGGTCCTCCTCCTTATTCCTTAAGTCAAAGTACTACTTATAAAATACTTTACATCTTTGTTCAATTTCAAATTATAGACAAACCTCCCTAATACAAAATACTAAAAGTGCAATAGTATAAATTAAGAGTTTGCAACCACATTATACAAACATTACCTTTTTATTGTACAGCTTTGATAACACGGAATATTTACTCACAACTGTTTATAATGTTGTGAATAATGTATGGTGCTAAGGTTTGTCTGTAACTTGTTTTCCAATCATTGAGCTAAAATTCACACTACATTTTTTTTTTTTCATTTAATAGAACAACTGTCCACATAGCAGCTACAAATATTTAAATAAAAAAAGGTTTGTTACTGACAGGTACTTGCACATGAAAAGCATGCTATCTTTCCCAATAAAACTTCACAATTTTGCCTGCATTGAAAGGAACCACTTATTCATAGTAAAACAAAACTTGCTTTAAAAAAAAAAAAAAAAAAAGGGAAAAGAAAAAAGAAAAATCACATAGCCAGATGTATTTTGCAGTACAAAAGCTTCATTTAAGTTTGGGGCTAGTATAATGTCTGTTACCCGCATAGTCTTAACATTATAAATACTACAGACAAGGATACTGTAATAATACACAGCATTGGGGTACTAAATCACTTATTTAAGATTAAGATTTCTAAAAACATTGTCCAAGTTGCTAACTAATTTGAACAAAACCAGCAAATAAGTGTGACAGAATGCCATAATGAAGCCCCCCTTTCTCAGGTGATAGTAAGTTTTGTAAGAAGCAAAGTGAATGTAGACTAGCCTCTTTCTGCTTCTAATGAAGTTATCCCATGACTGGTTTGTTTTCTGTTAAATTAAAAGGTGTCAAAGTTCTCAGTAACAGTCAAACTCACTGTTGAAAGAAGTACCATGCAGATCTTGCAAGACAACTTTTCAGCAGCCACAAAGTTATGTATTTCTGCTATGGGTAAAACTTTAAAGGGAACCTATGCATTTAGGTCAGGAAACTAATGCTTAGCTTCAAAAGCTGTACATGGAACAGGACAAGTGTTGTGTCGAGTAGAGGTCCAACAGTTATTCGGAATGAATGCTTTTAATTTATGCCAATCTCTTTATTATCCTCAATAAATCTGGTGAATGGACGACTGGCTCCCGTTTCAGAACTTGCTTTGTCCAGACTGACAATGGGAGGGCTGCTGCCCGTGCGAGCTTTGTCCATGCCACCGGTAAGGTTACTTAGAGGCGGGATGGCGCCTCCGCCTAGACTTACTGGGAGCTGAGGAATGCCTCCGTTCTGTATGACAGAAATCTCATTGTTCTTCATAGCAAGTCCATTAGTGATAGCTGCAGCATATTGGTTCCAAAAATTGGGGTCAACATTCATGGCCCGAGCTGCCAAATCCTTCTGGAACATCTCGGAGAACTTGAGAGCATCGCCACCGAGCAAAGCCATGGGGTTTTCCACGGAGAGGCGTCGGCCACGGCGTGCAGGGGCGTTATTCCACATGTGAGTCCCCATGTGAACCTGCAGAGTGAACAGGGACAAGAAGCACACCCAAGTTAGCACATTCTGGTGAGGCGTCTAGCCTGAAATGCTGTTACTTACAGTAGTGCTTGCTTTTTTTAAAAAAATGCCTTTTAATTCACATTGAAAAAAAAAACAACTCCAGTAAAAACAGAGTTCTAAGGTCCAGTCAGCCCACACAAAGAAAACCCAGTTCCATAGTAGTTTTTCAATGTGCATTTGCTTCTTCTCAGTGAAAACAAAGAGCGCTGCAAGACTAAAGGGTACATACTCTCTTGGGTTAGACAATTTCACATGCAAGCTGGAAGTCCTCATGTGCTGAAGATTACCGAGGGCATTACTCATACATACTAGGAGATGGGTGTTTTTTCCCTTTTTCTTTTTTCATGCTGTTTTCATGTTTTATCTTGTGTCAGAAGCACTGATTAATTTGCTAAATTTAGGATTTTTAAAAAGGACATTTAAAATGTCTTCCCCAGGCTGTGTCCTGGTGGTTAACCAAATGGCAGGAATAGGAGCCATCAGTCCTGTAGTAATCCATTGTAAATCCGTGAGAAAGAGCTTTCTACTCTGCAATGGTTGCAAAGTAGAATTGAAAATAGAAACTGGGGGGCACCCAAAGAGCTGAGAAAGCTCTGTGTTTCTGGTTTATAGCAAGGTTATTTTGCATTGAGGGTCCACAAGAACTCTCAGAACACGTCCACCAGCTGACTGGGTGTGCCATCGCATCTGTCAGAAATACAACATGCCTGCATGTACACCTGGAACCAGTTTAAAAGTTCACATCACTGCCACTTTCCAGTCCTTATCATCCTCACGGTGGAAGCATAGTGACTGCCACAGTACAGCAAGCATTTCCTTGAAGCTCCCTTCTCACCTGTCCTTGGGACAAACGCTTAGCACTAAAACTTGCTGAGTTCAAGAGCAGTGCTCTTTAACCTCCCCCTCCCCAAGCCTTTACAGTTTTATGTGGCCTCTTACCTTAAGATTCCCCTTTGTGGTAAAAGCTCTACCACAGATTGTGCAACCAAACGGTTTTTCACCGGTATGGGTGCGCTCGTGTATCTGCAGTGCACTTGCTGAGGAGAAGGTCTTCCCGCACGACTGACAGTTGTGCTGCTTGGGAGTCCGGCGAGGGGGGGGTGCCAGCATAGGGGTGATCCCCGGACTCATCACTGTCTGTGGTGCAGCAGGAACCTGGATTCCAGCTGGAAGCGAGGGAACCTCACCCAAAGAGATCGGCTTGCTGTGACCATTCACTTCCATTTTGATCATGGTAGGTGCTGTACTGGTGACCAGGCTAGGAGTACTTTGGCTGGGACCTAGAGTAAAGTTGGGTTCAAATAACTGAGAAGGCAGCTCTTTTAATTTGTGCGTCAGTAAGTGCTGTTTTAAATTACCCATAGTGGAACACCCACGACTGCAGACTGTACAAACAAATGGACGTTCTTTAGTATGGCTGCGGTAGTGAATTTCCAATGCACTCTTACAAGCAAAAGGCTTGCCACAGATATTACAAACAGTACTTTTAAACTTACCACGTTCTCTGTTCAGGAACAGCAGACTAAAAGGAGCCTCCTCTTTGATGACCGGTCTTCCTGGGTTGGTGGATGTCAGATCTAATGCGCCTCCATTTTCAGTTGTGGGTGGCGGACTGTCCGGTTTTTCTGTCTTTAATTGTATTTCTTGTGGCTCTTCCTGGTTACTGAGACCGGGGGACTTTGATCTGAAGCTTTCACTGTTGCTATTCACAGGAGACAAAGCTTGCATGGAGGAAGAAGACTCTGACATTGCAGGGCTGCCTGCACTCTGGCTTTCAAGATCACCAACAGCTGATGAGGAGTCATTGCTCAAATGGTCACTTTCCCCTGATCCATTTTCTATGGATTTTAAACTGGTCAGCTGCTGACAGTTCATGACAGAATCAATCATTTTCATTTGATTCTCCAAAGCAGCAATACTGGAGATCACAGAAGGTGGTGAAGAAGGACATGACCCAGAGTAAGAGATAAGGGGTTTGGATGAATCACTTGCCGTGTCCTTTAGTTCCGGGTCCTCTTCCATAGAATTTTCATCAATGTCATCATCAAAGTTGCTCAGTGTGTCAACATTCTTCTCATCATAGGAAAGCTCTGAGTCCATGGCATCCTGGAAGCCCTCTGGTAGTGGCGTGTTTGGAATTTGCCCACCCATATGCATACGAATGTGCTGCTGAAGAACAACCGCGTTTGTAAATTTCTTCTGACAAATGGGACACGAGTGCTGTACTCTAAGTGGTGGCTTTGCTCGATGAACTCCAAAATGTGTTTTTAGATTGCCTTTTGTAGTAAAGGCACGTCCACAAATTTTGCATTTAAATGGTCTTTCTCCTGTATGTGTTCTGTAATGCATCTTGAGAGCGCTCTGACAACTAAGCACACGGTGACAAATGACGCATTGATTTGGATCTGTCATCTTCTTATCAATGTTCTCCACTAGCTGTTGTAGTTTTGAGGTTTCTGATGTTTGCATAGAGTCTAGCAGACCACCAAATGGAAATTTTGCCTTAAACTGGTCAGACACTGCTGGAAGCACAGGGTTTGGGAGGCTTGTTGCAACACTGCTGTCTGTAACCACCGTAGGAATTGAAGATGTGGAAGCTGCAGAAACTTGCCCACCTGCAGAAAGGTCCCCGAGCCGTGTGCTCGTGGGAGGCAGAGTGACAGATTCTGCCTTGGTCAGAGATGAGCCACTCTGAACAGGCTGCGGGGATTCAGCAGACGCAGGAACGCCTGACTCAGAAGTGTTGAGGCTCGGGGATAGAGAAGTGCATTCACTGGAGGCGGGAGAAGGCCTCTGGGGTGATCTGCTCATAGGAGTGATACTTGGAGAGTCTCCGTAGCTGTTCACACCGGGTATAGTGGGGGGCAGCTGGAGCCCAATGGAAGTCGGGACGGTTGGTAAAACAGGTTTACTGTCTAACCACGTTGTTACCGGCTTCTCGGGGGGCAGCGACATCCCATACGGGATTCCAGAGCAGGTGGGAACGTTATCGAGGTATTCTGGAACAGGATAAGGGTTCATCTGAATATGAGGGTATTTCTCTTTATGCCTCTGAAAATGAACTTTCAGGTTGCCCTTTGTGGAAAAGCGGTTTCCGCATATGTTACACTTAAAAGGTCTTTCGCCTGTATGCGAGCGGAGGTGAATTTGTAAAGCACTGTCACTTCCAAAGACCTTGGCACAAAATCGGCATTTATGTTTAAAAAAGGGATCCTCGGAGCTTGACTTGGGTTCAAACACTGACACATTTGGTGGCTTTCCTTTGCGGTGCTTCATAAGGGCAGACAAAGGATCGAGCGCATTAGCAGTTGCGGCGATGCTAACCAGCGGATTGGGGAAGATTACGCTATTTGATGAAGTCTGAGGTAGAAGTGGGTTTGGCAGGCTGGATACTGAGGTGAGGCTTCCATGTCCTATTGAAGGTGGAGTCGAAGCATTCTGGGGCTGCGAAGCGCTGTTAGGAGCATTTGACACAGAAATGGGAGTTATGGACGTAATTGCGTTCGAGGAGGAAGGTACACCCGATTCAGGCAGGGCAGAAGAGCCACCGCCGGATATACTGGGTGTACTTGCTCCAGATGTAGGTCTCGAGATGTGCTGGGAGCCGTCGAAGGCAGTGGGCTGACCACTGGTGGCCTGCCCCACAATGGCTGAGGGAATGACTGCAGTGAGCTGGACGGCGGCGCTGGCGGCAAACCCCTGCAGCTGGTTGGAGGCCTGCCCGGGACCACCCTGGGCAGCCACGATCTGGTTGAGGGATGGTCGCAGGGGTTGGCGGTTCATCATTGCCACCTGACTGCGGATCTGCTCGATCAGCTGGAGCTGGTGAATCTGCTGCTGCTGCAGGGCCATGAGCTGCTCCAGAATCATGGGGATGGCCACAGCCGTCACCCCGCTGCTGATGCTCGCGGAAGCGGTGGCCCGTGCACTCTGCGAGAACTGCGCGACTGCCACTTTAGTGCTCAGCAGAGTCTCTAGTGTGACATTGGTGTTTGGCATGTTATAGCTTGTCATGGAAGATGGTTCAGGGATCTGAGGTAGAGGAGTAGCTGTGTTTGAGGTGCCTTGAGTCTGGAAACTCTTCTCTGCAGAAGTTTCTACCTCCATTGGCTCTTCTTCTTTTTCCGTGTTTTTTACCTCAGAGCTGTCATTGTTTTCTGCCTGGACGCCTTCTTCAGCAGCTTCACTCTCTGCCTGGTCACTGGGAGAGCTTGCAGGGGAGGGCTCAGGGAATTCCTCAGCGGGGGGTGGAGCTGGTTCATCTTCGTTGACAATCAGCACCAGGGGGTTTTTAGTGCAGCTCTTCTTGTGCTCCAGGAAGTCCGTCCACTTGAAGAACTCGGCGCAGCATTTCTCACAGACGTTGGTTTCTTCGCTTCCGCTCCTGCTCTCGTTCCCGCTATCACCGTCATCTGCTCCTTCTCCCGGGACTGCTAGAAAATCAAAAGATTGTATCAGCCAATGACTTGTGAGACAACTCTCCCTACATTTAAAAATTTTGCACATAAGTAAAATCAATATTTTTTATTTTGTACAAATTGCCCCACTTCAACATATCTGAGGTCCCAGCGTGCGTATTCTATGACTCTTTCTACCTAGCTAATCATTTTCTTAGCACAATCCATCAAATTATGAGGTGCTATCAATTGTGGATACTGCTTCTTAATGAAATTCCATAGAAGCCATTGATTTCCAATATTTTCATACAATTCACAGCACCTTGTCTGTTGGGTACAAAGCAAGCTTTCGATGGGCTCATTAGGATTCCCCTTTACCATCAAGCTTCCTCATTTCCAGCAAAATTAGAGATGCCTTTGCCACTTCACTTAACATTGCTAAACTAATCTGTAACCTTTCAAACTCAAATCAGCACCTGACAGGACAAACTGGGCCTCTGTTACTCAAGTGTGGTCCTGGACTACCTAGATTTATTATCTTTATACAGTGTTGAGACACCATGAATTTAATGTAATTCTATATAACCTTTTAAATCAATAAGCATTTATTTAACTTAAGAATTTTCAATGAAATGAATTCGGTTATAAAAGTAACAAGGGTATGTAAGCACTTCTAGCATTTTGACTCAGAAAAGGAAAGTCTTCCTTATCCCAAAGGTAGATACATAAACTAGCATTATGTCTTTTTGCACATTGCTTATATATGCTTTTAAATGCTGCTGAAATGAGCTGTTCTGTAATACATAAAGTGGATGCCCCCTATCCTAGCTATAAAATTAATATCGTTTATACTTAATACTATTAATTGGTTCTGTCAGATGCAATATTTCTCTAGCAAAAAGCCACATTAAATTACATGTTACTGCCATTAGCCAATAGAGTTCATTTTAGGCAAAAGAGAGGTTTATTAACAAACTAGATATTATATATTTAAAGTTCATTTGCATTGACATGTTTAACATGAGAACGTCAACGTTGTAGTCAGGCACACTTTTTGTACCTATTTTCATCTCTCCTCATAGAAAGACTCAACAAATTATATGCTTGTGCCATAGTGGAAAACCCACTAATTGGTTACACATGTTTAATTACTGTTGTAGGCAGCTACTTCCTCTGACTCGCGTTACCCTCTTGTACCGAATAACAAGCACGTTAAATGAACAGAATTCTAATTCACACCTGATCAAATAAATAGCTGCACAGGAAGGAGAAATCAACATACAATAACATTTTTAGGGTGGTTTTTTTTTTTTTTTTTGTCATGTTGGGGAGAAGGAATGTAGGTAATTACTCAGGTTCCATTTGCTGCTCTGGACATAGCTGCTTTTCGTCAGCCCACAGATCGAGTGACAACAGCAAATCAGTTCGGCAGAAGAGAATGACAGCTGTAAATCAGTTTTTGTTATGTGCATTTGAGTATGTGAGAAAAGTGGCTTTGAGTCTTCTTGCCGTATCAATAATTTATTGTTTTGCTACCGAAAGAAAACGTACTAGGATGTCTATTAGTTTATTCTCTTTTATACTCAGAAAGAATGCTCAGCCAAAACCCTGTGCTAAGGTTTCAATTAAACAGCCATATTCTATTTCTCTAACAGAGATGTGGTCACTTAACTGAAACAGAAAACAAAAAGAATGCTCTCTGCAATCGTGGTATCCCAAGCTGCACTCTTATTTATCTGGATTTTCAACCAATTTTTATACAATTAGCACCATAATCCAACATCAGGAAAAAGATTGTGAAACTAAAAATAAAAATAAAAGAGCCAACAATTAACAAGTTCTTCTACTAAATTCTGTTGTGATATTAGAATGCTGGTAGTCTAAGCATCCTGCCAGAGCAAGGAATGTAGTATGTATCTGTAATGAGGTTGAGCATGGCTAGAAGCAAAGACATAGCTGATTTGTATTGAAGATAGGCAGAGTAAGCAAATAAAGCGTCCAATACTGTTTCTACTAAAATGAATGGCAACACTTCCATTGACTTTGGTAGAGGCAGGATTGGGCCAACACCCTCAATACCCCATGCTTAGTATGAACAAAGCTTCACACAGCTACGAATATACCTGGAACTGTTAAAGAATGCCTAAAAAAAAAACAAAACAAGATTGCCAAGAAATTCAGGACTTATCATTTCAACAGAAACAGTTACCAAAAAAAAAAAAAAAGTTAGCAGTGGAAAATAAAAGGAAAGTGTAATCTTGAGATGTTCCAGTTGCTTTTAAAAAAGAGGTTTTTACAGAACATTAACTATAAAATCGCTTTTGACAAAATTGCCTGTCAGTTCTTTCAGTCTTTGCTCAGCTAAAACTCCCTACAGATTTCAGCGGGGAGTTTAGTCTGATAAAGGTGATAAATCTGTGCCCTGAATACTGTTCCCTAGCCTCTGAGAGCCTCTCAAATTTATTATTTTCCTGTACCTTCCAAAACTGTACCTTTCAAAAAATTTAAAGATGACACTATATCCACTACATACTCATGCATTCATAAGCCCAGTGATATATGTGACTAAGTAACAGACATGCATTTTCTATCAAGAAATGATAGCTGAATGTAAAATCTTAGTGGAATTTCAAATTTCTACTGTATTTACTACTTAAAAAGAAAAAAACAAAACACTTCTTCAAATACTACTGTTTTTTTCCCCTTCTATTTTTTATTTTTCCTTTTGGGAGGGGAAAATAAAATGCAATTCAAAACAGTCAAGAATTATTTAAGACTTCTGCATGAAGTGCTGAACCTGTTACACTTTTTGGAATAAAATCAATAGTACATAGCTGTTGCTAGACAATACTAGACTAATCCTTATGGTAAATCCTTCTGTTAAAAATTATCACTTTTGTGTTACAAAAATATCACAGAAGATAACACGATTCACCGCAGAAAAAGAGCATGCTGGCAGCAGGTATCCTAAAGCATATGTTGCAAAACCCAAAGCCTCCCAAAGAGAGTTAAGTGAAAAAGCAGACTTCCAAACCACATTTTCGGCGCGCGCTTCAGCTCTCGCAAAGTGAAAGCATGCAGAGTACAGCCCAGCGAAGCATCCAACACCCAACACGCTTGCCTCTCTCCAGAGTCTTTCCGAACTAAGACAACTCAAACAAATCCTTATTTACATTACAGATTTACATTTTAAAAGTCGGGGAGACAGATTCTCTGGTCCTTGCTCAGAATCTATGGAGTGCCCTGGTTGGTAGTACCGACCACGCGCAGAGAGATGTCATTTTTCCAAAGGATTTCACTGGGAACACTTTCCAGTGCTATTTCCAAACACTGGCAGGCCGGGTAACAGTTGTGTGTTGTTGTTGTTATGATTATGATTAGGATTATTACTATTATTACAACTACTGCTTCCAATATTGCTACTGAGTGATTGCAAAGGAGGATTGATTCTTAAAGAAGCTGCTAACTGTGCAGCTCCCCTTCCAGCCTTTATCTATATATCGGTATTCTTTTGTTTAAGGAGAGCTTTTTCTAAACAAACCTAGCACAAAAGGTTTCAGTAATTAGTAATGGATTCAGGCAATATAGCCATTCAAATATGGCTGTCCTCTGATCTAGAATGAGCTGATCAAACACCAGCAAGCTAATTATTTCAGACACTGTATAGTAATCACTAAGCCCAAATGTGAACATTTACAACCAAAACAGGTATTATTTTATGCGTTGGTAGACAGTCTCATGATCTCCATATATCAAAGCTAGTGTGTATAACATGTAAGCTTTCCAAAGCAACCTTAACTGCTTCTGCCCGCTGCCAGGAGGTATTAATGTGGACCTGCTCAGCATTTCAAAATAATAAGCAGACTGGTGTACTTGTTCTCAAACTCAAAGAAACGGCAGTCTGCGTTGGAAATATAATTTGTGAAAAAGTACATGAGGAATGCAGTAGTATAGATAAATTCTTGGATAATCAGCGCTCAGCTCTGCTCTCAGTGAAGTAAATGGCTAGTTTTGTGCTGTCACAGGGAGAACAGGCTCCTGCCTGTACTAAGTGGTGACCTATAGCTCTGTTTTGCATTTCTCCTTCCCTCAACTCCCGTACCTTCAAAATAGTGAGAATACTTTTGAAATGACCGATCCAAGTTCATTCACCTCATCATCTATCTGCCTTGAAATAGTCAAGGACTCCTTTAGAAAAATATTTCAAATAATTCCAAGGAGTTGCTAGGGGTTTTCTTCCCCCCAGCTCAACCTTAAACTAAACATACTATTAATCTCGCTGCAGTACTTTCCACTTAGGATAAATTATTCTGGCTTTTTAAAAAAAGCATCAAACAAATCTCTCTCAAAGCTTCACTTCCTTGGACAGGCAGGCAAGCAGGTGACACAAATGGCATGAAAGTAAATGCTGCTTTGCCACGGGTGACGGTACTTTCCTGCACAGCACGCTGAGGCTACTAAGATGCTTCACAGAATGACAGCCTGTGGTCTCAATCCAACAAGTCCTACTCAAATGAGTAGCTTTTACCTACATCTGAAACAGTGCTGAATTAAATAAGATTCAAAGAATATAAACTAGCCATGCAAACAACCACTTCCAAGGGTAGAAAAAGAAAAAGTAAAAAAAACACAACTGATACATATTTTGCAATGTACTGGACAAATGGACATCACCTCTGTATTTCACAAATGTAATTTCTAACATACCTTTAAGTAGTACTTACTGATGTGAAAACACTAAGGCACTGTATTTGTTGTTGCTTTTGAAGTGTGAGTCCTCACTGAATTCAACAGGGAGTAAAGCTTACAGGCATTCTACATGAAAGGTTATTTTTGATTCTTTGTTAAAACTCAGTCACTTTATGAATGACAGAAATCTATACCAAAATTTAATCATTAATTCAGAATATTAAAAATTTTAAATGCTAAAATATTAAGCTACAAATTAATTTTGTTTTTTAAATCACAGAATATGTATATTGCTGGGAAACACATAATTTTTCCATATTTATTTATGCTTTATAGCTTGTCCTCATTTTCTGATGTATTACTAAGGGATTGAATCTGTTAGGTAGCAAAGAACTTAATCTTTTTTCTTTAAATTTTCCT